AAAATTTTTTTTTGCTTATATATTGAAAAAAACCAGAATTGTTTCGATGAGATTGCATACAAGGGTCTTACCCGCATAGTTATAGCGACGGGAATTCTTTGCTTGCTCTTCAAGATGCCATATGGAGGATAAGCAATGACTCGAGGAATACAGTTCCCTTAATTTAATTGTGAATTTTTGGAGTATGTACTGCGGCAAAGAGTATGGAGCAACTTTACCTTTTATAGCAAAAGCAATTGGATGTATAGTGTTATTGAGAATTGTCATATGGTAAGTGATGTGGTCAAAGTCAAATGGTGCGTTGAATACCTGTAAGGTGAGTGGTTAAAATGATTAGGATGCAATGGTAAGCTTGAGCTTACCAATTTATCAAGTGGACGAAATATCATTTCGTGAATATTTACAAGTGGATCAAGCGTGACATTATCGATACCAGGTCCCTCGCGAATTTTGTAGAAATCATCAGTTTCCATAGGATTTGGTCCTTTATTGCGGTCAACTCCTGGAATTTTAACTCAAAATTCCTGTTATTGATGGTATTTCAACCAATCTAATAGCTAGCACAAACAGTCTAAAGTGCATATCTTTGAAATTTGCAATTACCTTTCATATCTGTGGTACTGGTCGATGGCAGTGTTTGATTTTCTCCTCCAGAAGGGCAATAATCGCTCTAAATTCAGATATTTGAACACCTCTTCTCTCAGATTGAAGTATTTGCAACTCATTTTAGTGCACGCGAATGGACTTCCCTAATTTTATCATTACCCCACTCCTCGCAACTTTAAGGCAAACATGTGAGTATTCCAAATGTTGGATACCCTGAGATTATGTCCACAAAAGTTCTAAAATAATGGAACCTGTTCTATCGCAAAGGACAAAAATACTTAAACTCAATAATCGCCTGTATTTTCTAATTGTACACCATTGCTAATAACAGAAAAAGGAACACAATGAATTGGTAGCAATATATTTATAAATGCAAAAAAATGGACTTCAGTCATATTTTGTAACTGATATATGGGTTCGAGCAGCATAATTTCACAGAAGAGACCCATTCATGGCTTTCTTCTTAACAAAATTGATCTCAAAGAAAATCATTTCTTCACCACAAAAGCAAAATTTTTACTCATTTTTTGAAAAGTGTGTTTATTCTAGAAGCATTTTGTGCATTTCAAAGATGTTTTGATTACTGAAGGCTATATAAAAATTCGCTCTTAGTCCTTGACTGAATTCCGATCACTTTTGCCGTTTTGTGCACCTTTTTTTCCATGAAAACACTGTTTCAGGTTTAGCTGCTTGGTTTTCGTATTTAGTTTCTTTACATTATGCTCTTCCTCTTACG